ATAAAAACTTTATTTTAGTTTATGTAGACGATATTTTAGTTTTTAGTAATAATACAAATGAACATCTAGGACATTTGCAAACGGTATTTAAACTATTCGTAGACAATGGAATTATAATTAGCAAAAAGAAAATGGAATTATGTAAGACTCTTATAAAATTCCTAGGGGTAGAAATTGGAAATGGAAAGATAAAACTACAACCCCATATAGCAAAAAAGGTTCTAGATATGCCTGATAAATTAGACAATACTAAAGACTTGCAAAAATTTTTAGGAATACTAAATTATGCACGGAGTTTCATCAAAGATCTAGGGAAAGTAGCAGGACCCCTATACTCTAAAACAGGAAGTCATGGACAAAAGACATTTAATGTAGAAGACATAAAACTAGTACAAAAACTCAAACAAATGGTTAAAGATATACCAGATTTAGCCCTCCCACTAGAAACAGATTACCCAATAGTAGAAACAGACGGAAGTCTCGAAGGGTGGGGAGCAGTTTTGAAAACAAAAAACAATAAATATGGAGATAAAAAAGACGAAAAAATTTGCGCTTATCACAGCGGAAAATACAAAGAAAAGGGAAATATGAGTAGCATAGATGCAGAAATTTTGGCAGTTATATACGGTTTAAATAGTTTTAAGTTATACATTATTAATAAACAAGAAATTCTGGTAAGAACGGATTGCGAGGCTATTGTAAAATTTCACCAAAAAATAGAAGGAAAAAATAGTAGTAAAAGAAGATGGTTAAATTTTTTAGACGCTACATCAATATACAATATATCTTTAGAGCATATAAAGGGGAAAGATAATTCTTTAGCAGATCAACTAAGCAGACTTATGAAAACTAACTGTTTGTTTTCAGCATGAGTACAGATAAAGACGGAGCATCTAGTTCAAATTCAAGTGGGCAAAAAGACAAAGACTTGTTGCAGACTCTCTTAGGAAATACTTCATTTCAACCACAAACAAGACAAAATACAACGAACATGGAAAGAATATATTTTGGAAAACAAAATTTAATCTTCTATCCTCCATCCAATCTAAGTTTCAGGGTGAAGCCAGAAACGAAGATAGATAGACCTCAAAGATGCTTAATAGACAACCTATGGATAGCATACAACAAGATTCCTCGAGACAACAGTTATTTCGTGTCCGTAGTAAATTCTTTAAGCCATTATTTTACAGACAAAAATGAAGACAAAAAATTCAGATTTTATGTAGTAATTCAAGGAAAATTACAGGGCGTGTTCCAGACATGGATAGAAGTAGTAGATTCAATTAAAGACTTCCCTACCCCACTCTTTAAGGGATTCAATGATTTGAATGAAGCACTAGACTATGCTAGAGGAACTCTCGGGCCTAATTATTTCATCAGTCCAGCTTTGAGACAAATTTCAAGACCGTCTTTGCAATACAATATTCAGAAAGACACAAACAGAATCATTTTCTGCGATCATTGTTCCTCAATGACGGAAGGATTCAAAAGGCTAAACCAGACAATCGAAAGACTAGAAACAGAAAAAGGGAAAATGACACAACATATCCACTCATTACAAGAGAGGATAAGATTTTTACTTGGAAATACCGATCAAAATAAGAGTTCTCCATCTCCCCACAAAATGGATGAGACGGGTGTACATTCCCCAACGAATGTAGAAAAAGCTATTGTACCAGCTAAAGGTACAGCTAGTCCCGTTCAAACGGTAGCGGGTAAAGACTCATCAAATCCGTTGATGGTTGACACTTTACCAAAAAGTGTAAGAATTCTGCCGGCAAGCTTCAATACAATGGCAGAGACAAGTAAAAGGACAACAGGATTCCTCCAAAAAAGAAAAAAAAATAAAAGAATAGAAAAAATAATAAAAAGTTCCCTTTACAAATTTCTCACAGAAAAGACTAAAGAAGTACAAGAAAAAATCATACGAGAAAATCCAAAGCCAGATCCAGCAAATTCTGACCACGAGGGTAGCAGTGACGAAAATAATTTATCAGACCAGTTTAATCAACATTATGATCCAAATGACGACAATGATTCAGGGATGAGTTTTGATTCTGTAACACTACACAACCTGGATACCTAGAGAAATACGTAGCAATAACATCAACACAAGAAGACAAACAAATAGGTAAGCAGTGACATCACAAGCCTTCATCAACTACAAGATTCCACTACAAGACTCCACTACAAGTCCATTATGATAAAGAAACTCCACTACATGTCCACTACTCCACTATCACAAGAAGACAAAAGAAGGACACCACTCCACTATCACAAGAAGACAAAGAAGGACACTCAATTTCAACAAAGGTTTCACAAAGCCATGTGACAATGGGGCCCAAAGAGCACCCGGGTGAAGAAAGTTTTTAGAAATTGAAATCCGAATTTCAAATCCGGATGGACTTCTATAAATAAGAACCATATTACAAGAAAAGAGACAGAGCGAAGTGCAGAGCAGAGAGCAAAAGCTTAAATATTTCTAAGTAATAGTTTACATATTCCCCTTCCCTTTCAAAATAAAGAGTGAGTAAGTGTTTGTTGTGTGTGTACAAAGAGTGTGAGTGTATTTTCCTACAAGTACTTGCAAGGTCACTTCGAGGACTCCCGAAAGGGAAACCTCATTCCGACCATTATCATGTAAGTAGTTATCTGTTTTCTAGATCCTAGTAATCTTCTCCCTAAGCGTATGTACTATGTTATTATTGTGTATGTTATTATGTGTGATATGATGTTCATATTATTATGATATGCTATTATGATTTTCGTTAACATGTTCACTCTTTGATTTATTCTTAGTAAATGGTTAGTTCTCTATCCTCTTAGTAACCCCGATAGATTAACCTGTAAATACCTAGGGATGTTGAAAGTCCGCCATGGTCAGAAAACCAAAAGGACTGTGAATCCCAGGGTGTGGTTAAAGAAGCAGGTGCTAGGAAAATGGGTAAGGAAAAGAGATGAAAGGAGTAAGGTAAAGAGATGAACAGTGAAAAAAAAAAAAAAAAAAAAAAAAAAAAGTTTTGGGAGAAATTACATGGATTCAGCAACAAAAAACTACTAATACTAGATAACGGAACAGGAAGAGGGAGTACTGAGTAGGATTTTACAACAAATTTTACAACCACAGCTTACATCAACCTCAAGAGGTGAGTTTATATTAAAATAATTATATATATATATATATATATATATATATATATATATATATATATTAATAAAATCAACCTCAAGAGGTGAGTTTATATATATATATATTTAAATTTATTAAATTAAACTTCTATTGATATGTAGTTATATATATACATATATGTATATATATATATATATATATATATATATATATATATACATATATATTTAAATTTATTAAATTAAACTTCTGTTGATATGTAGTTATATTTATACATATATGTATATATATATATGTATACATATATACATTATATATATACATATATATTTAAATTTATTAAATTAAACTTCTGTTGATATGTAATTAAATTATATATATATATATATATATATATATATATATATATATATATATATAAAATCAACCTTTAGAGGTGAATTTATATTAAAATTAATTAATAAATACCAACCTAAAGAGGTCGGTATATTTAAATTATTATTTTATTTAAATAATATCGACTTCATGATGATAGTATTTATTAAATATTTATAAATATAGATAATTATTTTAAAAAATATCGAGAACCCGAGATCGGTAAATTAAAGAATTCTCTTTAAAAAAGAATGACAATATAAGTTTTAATCCTAAACACTAACTCTCAAAAACCTAAGTCCACTTTCACTCCCCCACTTCAGATCCACCCCGACCCACCCCCATCGCGCCGATCCCCACCCATCCCCGACCGGCGCCACGCCACACCGCCTTCCCCGACCGCAGCCACCCACCTTCGCAGCAGCAGAGGACGTCGCGGCCAGTAGGAGGTCGCGCGCCTCCATCACGACCGGCGCCGCCTCCATCTCGACCAGCACCTCCATCCCCGACCTTCTTAGTGAAGGTGAATTTTTAGAACCTCCATAATAGATTACTTTTGTTTCTATTTAGGTGAAGTATCTCAAAATTAGAGTACTAATATACTTAGTTTTATTGATTGATTGTTAGTTAGTAAGTGAATGATTTAGGATTTTTGATTGTTAGTTTGAATTAGGTATTATTTGATTGTTAGTTTGTGTTTGTTGATTGTGAATTGAAAATTTTAATGTTAGGGTTAGTTTGAATTAGGGTATCTTAGGATTTGTTTGAAATTCGGTATTTCTTAAGTTAATTAGTTTGATTTTGGAATTGTAAGATTAGATTGAATTAGGGTATTTAAGGAGTTGTTTGAACTTGGGTATTATTTGAGTTAGTTTGAATTTGGGATTAGGAATAGCTAGCTAATTTGAATTTAGGATTTTAGTACTAGTTAGATTTTGGGATTTTAGGGCTAGTTTGAATTTGTGATTTTAAGATTAGTTTGAATTTTGAATTTAGGACTAGTTTGAATTATTAATGAGATTTTAGGAATACTAATAGTTTGAATTTGGGATTTTAGCACTATAGTTTGATTTTTGAATTCTAGGAGTACTTTCAATTTGTGATTTTAAGACTAATTTGAATTTGGAATTTAGGACTAATAGTTTGAATTATATTTGATATTTTAGGACTAATTTAATAGTTTGAAGTTGGGACACTAGCTAGCTAGTTTGAATTTAGAATTTTAGGGATTTGAATTACAACTTAATTAGAACTTATAATTAATTATAACTTGAATTTACTATAAATTGAACTTAATTAGGAATATGAACTTGAAATTATAACTTGAACTTGGAACTAATTAGCTTGAATATATAACTAATTAAGTTTAGAAATTATATATGAACTTGAATTGAAACTTGAACTTATTAAAACTTGAGAATATATATAAACTAATATTCTTGGATATGAAGTTTATATTTAACTAATTTAAGAACTTTTCGTGCTAGGCAACTGAGGAAGCTCAACATGTAAAAAAGTTGATATAGGACTATTTTGCTTCTTTCATCAAAGTTGGAGATAAGGTTGGTGCTTCTAAATTTCTCAAGTTCAAGTACAATTGTTTTGAATAATGTGTTTGTGTCCATCTAGTATTAATACTTGGCTTTAATGCTAGTAATTATAATTGATTGTTTGTTAGTATATTATTGTTTTTGTTTGTTGGTTGTGTTATTCAATTGTTAATTTGATTTGATTATTGTTAGTTAGGTATAGATAATTGAAGATTTTGTATTTTAAAGTTTTTTTAAAAAGAAATTAGACATTTTTAAATTGGGCATTGTTAGTTAGTGAAGAATTAACATTTTTATATTTTAGAACTAGTTTAAACTTGAGAATATGTAATTTGAGGTTAAATTGAGATTTTTTTGGATTTGATTTTAGGACTAGTTAGTAAAGTGTTAATTTGAAGTTAGAAATTAGTAATTGAAGTGTTATGAGTAGAAGATGAATGTTTGAATGTCATGAACTTAATTAGAATTTGAAGTTGAACTTAGAATTTGAACGTGAACTTAGAACTTGAACTTGAACTTAGAATTTGAAGTTAAACTTAGAACTTGAACTTGAACTTGAACTTGGAACTTGAACTTGAAATTAAAACTTGAACTTAGAACTTGAACTTGAACTTGAACTTAGAATTTAAAGTTAAACTTAGAATTTGAACTTAGAACTTGAACTTAGAACTTGAACTTGAACTTAGAACTTGATCTTGAACTTGAACTTAGAACTTAGAACTTAGAACTTGAACTTGAACTTAGAACTTGAACTTGAAATTAGAACTTGAACTTAGAACTTGAACTTGAACTTAGAATTTGAAGTTAAACTTAGGATTTGAACTTAGAACTTGATCTTGAACTTGAAATTAGAACTTAGAACTTGAACTTGAACTTAGAACTTGAACTTGAAATTAGAACTTGAACATGAATTTAGAACTTGAACTTGAACTTGAACTTAGAACTTAGAACTTGAACTTGAACTTGAACTTAGAACTTGAACTTGAACTTGAACTTGAAATTAGAACTTGAACATGAATTTAGAACTTGAACTTGAACTTGAACTTAGAACTTGATCTTGAACTTGAACTTGAGCTAGAACTTAGAACTTAGAACTTAGAACTTAGAACTTAGAACTTGAACTTGAACTTGAACTTAGAACTTGAACTTGAACTTAGAACTTAGAACTTAGAACTTGAACTTGAACTTGAACTTGAACTTAGAACTTGAACTTGAACTTAGAACTTGATCTTGAACTTGAAATTAGAACTTAGAACTTGAACTTGAACTTAGAACTTGAACTTGAACATGAATTTAGAACTTGAACTTGAACTTAGAACTTAGAGCTTGAACTTGAACTTAGAACTTGAACTTGAACTTGAACTTGAACTTGAACTTAGAATTTGAACTTGAACTTAGAACTTGAACTTGAAATTAGAACTTGAACTTGAACTTGAACTTGAAATTAGAACTTGAACATGAATTTAGAACTTGAACTTGAACTTAGAACTTGATCTTGAACTTGAACTAGAACTAGAACTTAGAACTTAGAACTTAGAACTTAGAACTTGAACTTGAAATTAGAACTTGAACTTGAACTTAGAGCTTGAACTTGAAGTTGAACTTGAACTTAGAATTTGAACTTGAACTTGAAATTAGAACTTGAACTTGAACTTAGAATTTGAACTTGAACTTGAACTTGAACTTAGAACTTGAACTTGAACTTAGAACTTGAACTTGAACTTGAAATTAGAACTTGAACTTAGAATTTGAACTTGAAATTAGAACTTGAACTTGAAATTAGAACTTGAACTTGAACTTAGAACTTGAACTTGAAATTAGAATTTGAACTTGAACTTAGAACTTGAACTTGAAATTAGAACTTGAACTTGAACTTGAACTTTGAACATGAACTTAAAATTTGAAGTTGAACTTAGACTTGAATTTGAAATTAGAACTTGAACTTGGAACTAATTAGCTTGAATATATAACTAATTAATTTTAGAAATTAGATATGAACTTGAATTGAAAACTTGAACTTATTAAAACTTGAATATATATATATATAACTAATATTCTTGGATTTGAAGTTTATATATAACTAATTTTAGAACTTTTCGTGCTAGGCAACTGAGGAAGCTCAACATCTAAAAAAGTTGATATAAGACTATATTGCTTCTTTCATCAAAGTAGGAGATAAGGTTGGTGCTTCTAAATTTCTAAAGTTCAAGTACAATTGTTTTCAATAATGTGTTTGTGTCCATGTAGTATTGATACTTAGCTTTAAATTTAGAAATAATATATTTGGTAAGCCTAAGTACCAACACTAGTTGATCCTATTGATGACAAAATTGATTTTCTTGCAAGATCGATTTGTGTCCATCTAGTGTTGACACTTAGCTTTAAATTTAGAAATAATATATTTGTTAAGCATAAATATCAACACTAGTTGATCCTATTGATGACAAAATTGATTTTCTTGCAAGATCGATTTGTGTCCATCTAGTGTTGCTATTAAGCTTTAATTTAGGAATAATGTGTTTGTTAAGCATAAGTATCAACACTAGTTGATCCTATTGATGACAAAATTGATTTTCTTGCAAGATCGATTTGTGTCCATCTAGTGTTGACACTTAGCTTTAAATTTAGAAATAATAAATTTGTTAAGCATAAATATCAACACTAGTTGATCCTATTGATGACAAAATTGATTTTCTTGCAAGATCGATTTGTGTCCATCTAGTGTTGCTATTAAGCTTTAATTTAGGAATAATGTGTTTGTTAAGCATAAGTATCAACACTAGTTGATCCTATAGATGACAAAATTGATTTTCTTGGAAGATCGATTTGTGTCCATCTAGTGTTGACACTTAGCTTTAAAAAGTTGTTAAAGTTATAAAGTTGTTAAGTTGTTTAAATAAGTTAAATTAAATAATGTGGTTTTGTTGATGGATTTAGTTGTTGGAATTAAGTCAAAACTAATGTAGTTAAAGTTAAAAAGTTGTTAAGTTGTTTAGATAAATTAAAATAAGGAAAAACTTCAGAATATAGCAAACATCAATATACATTTAAGATATATAGCTATTGTTTACTTTTATTTTATTTTATGGATACAATTAAATATTAAATAGCAAAAATAATTATATTCAAATAAAAATCAAATTTTCTAATATGTATATAAATAAGTATTAAATGACAAAATTATCATCACACGCCTAATCAATTATAGTTAGACATATTTTACGGTGATGTTCCCATGTTTACCAATCTTCATCACTTTTTATTACTCTCTCTCAAATATCACATTTTTTCCCCTTTTTTCCAAGTCCTTGAAATTCACGATTCATTTTAGGAGTGTTTTTTTTTATTCTTCTTTAGTAGGACTCTTGTAATTGTGTTTTTTTCCTTTTTATGACGACTATATTTGTGTACATCTATATTTTCCTTCTATTTTCACAAAGTTTTGTTTGAAAATTTTGTTTTGTCCATTATAATGGCGGAAATTAGTATTGCGAGGATTGGGTTATGAAATGTATATATTTATTTGACGAATTTTTGGATGAACTATCTTCTTTCGATTTGTGTATTACTCAAAAACAAACCAAATTTCCAGGCTCTATTGCTGCAATGGAGAATGAAAGAAGAACAAAGAATCACAATGACCCTATACCTCCAATTGTATTGATATATTAATACAGTGGAATACTTATACATTAGAATACTTGTATTGTATTATATTTCTTTGTTTTTTTTTTTTTTTTGGTTGTCCATTAGTATTGGAATATTAACACAAGTTGAAAGGTTGATTAACCATACAAGTACATCTGGACACATAAATACATTAAGTTTGTATTTGTTTAAAAAAATACTTGAAGCAACATTGTTTGTCCACTGTATCCAATTTTTGTTTAACAACAAGAGTATTTATATGTATACTATATAGTTGTATTGATAAGGTAAATCATATTTAAATTGTCTTGTTCATATGCTAAATTGTTATACTTTACTTTGTTTGATATATTGATACATTAAGTTTTATAAATACTTGTATCCATTTGAAAACAAAGTATTCGTATGCTAACCGTTTGTATTGAAATATTAACACAAGTTGAAAAGTTGATTAACCATACAAGTACATTTGGATACATAAATACATTAAATTTGTATTTTTTTTTTAAAATACTTGGAGCAACATTGTTTGTGGGTATTTATATGTATACTATATAGTTGTATTGATAAGGTAAATCATATTTAAATTGTCTTGTTCATATGCTAAATTGCTATACTTTACTTTGTTTGATATATTGATACATTAAGTTTTATAAATACTTGTATCCATTTGAAAACAAAGTATTCATATGCTAACTGTACACGTAATATATTAACCGTGGGTAGGAAATTAGATTCTCTATGTTAAATCGTCTGACTGAAGCCCCACATATGTAGATATACATACAGAAATCATAACATAGTTCATAATTTGAAGAGAAGCTTACACCGGTGCAATTTAATAAATTTAAGAGTACATGTTTTGGTGTATATACTTGTATGCATGAGTGTCGCGTTCAAAATCAAACCTTTAGATGCTTAATGGTATGTGAATTGAAGGATAGTTCATCAATAAATACAAGAAAGTGATAAATCAATTTAACTAAAAATTAAGTGAATACCTTTATGCTTGACTAACAACAATGGAGACAATTGAAGAATTGAATATGATGTATCTCAATCTTTTTGTTAAACGGATTGGAATCCAAGTGGATATGCATTGATTAGGTAGTTATTAATTTAAAATTGAGAAGTTGAGAATTTTAGGGACGTAACTAAAGGGATTTAGTTACAGTAAATACCTTATTTAGTGCACTCTAATTATAATTGTATTGTTGTATAATTTTAAAAAATAAAAAAAGTTACACAAATACAACTAGATATACATATAAACTATAGTCATTTTTAGTAAATAGCATACTTATAGCTATTGAATTTCAATAACCCTATAAATATAGTCATTTATGTAAGTTGCTCTTAAAATAAATAATGTGATTTAGTTGGTGGATTTAGTTGTTGTATTAAGTCAAAACTAAACTAGTTAAAGTTGTTATGTTGTTTATATAAGTTAAAATAAATAATGTCGGTTTAGTTAGTGAATTTAGTTGTTGGAATTAAGTCAAAACTAATGTAGTTAAAGTTCAAAAGTTGTTATGTTGTTTAAATAAGTTAAAATAAATAATGTCGGTTTAGTTAGTGAATTTAGTTGTTGGAATTAAGTCAAAACTAATGTAGTTAAAGTTAAAAAGTTAAGTTTGTTTAAATAAGTTAAAATAAATATTGTGGTTTAGTTGGTGGATTTAGTTGTTCGAATTAAGTCAAAACTAAACTAGTTAAAGTTGTTAAGTTGTTTAAATAAGTTAAAATAAATATGTCAAAACTAGTTAGACTTAGAAAGTGGTTAAGTTGTTTAAATAAATTCAAATGTTATTTAGTTGATGGAATTAAAATTATCATTATTGTTTGTGTAGATGAATCCTGATCGTAGTTGGATGTATAATAGAAACAATCCTGGTCGAGCGGGTATGATTCCAAAATTTGCAGAAGGTGTCACTAGATTTATAAATCATGCAATGACACTTGATGATTTTTTAAATTCAAGATTGATTAGGTGTCCGTGTGTTAATTGTGAAAATGTGAGATATCATACAACAGAGACTGTTGCTATGCATCTTGTGATGAATGGATTCAAACCAGGGTATACAGTTTGGACTAGCCATGGTGAGGTTGAAAGTGACACTATGTTTAATAACTTTGTTGTCGGTGAAAGTAGTAGATCTACCGAGCATAATTATTTCCAAGGTTCTAGAATGTCAGATATGATTAATGATGCTTTTGGGATGCATTCTGATTTTGAACAAGGAGAAAATGTAGAAGAAGCTCCTAATGAAGAGGTATGCAGCGCTTCAGGCCCAACTAACTTTTCTTTTTGAATCAGGAAATATTCTTCCTCCATGTCCGGCTAGCAGTGATGGATCTGATCAGGAGGGTGATGAGAATGATAAGGAGAGTGAGGGTGATGAAGAGTAGTTGTATCTATTTGACATTTTAGACTTCTATATTTTTAGAATTGTTTAATTTGATCGTATTTTAGTTTATTTTGAAGTTGGATGAAGTTTATTTTGAAATAGTTTGTATATGTTGAAAATATTGTGTTGTTTTGGTTGAATGAAGTTTATTTGGCTTTGGTTGTTTTGGTTGGATGAATTTTATTTGGCTTTGGTTTGTTTTGGTTGGATGAAGCTTATTTGGCTTTGGGTTGTTTTGGTATAAATATGCAGGTGGGCAACTAAAAATTGCAGCAATTTGCTGCCTGTTTTGCAGCAAAAAACCAACCTCCGGAGGTCGGAATTTCAAAAATAAAAAATAAAAATACCGACCTCCGGAGGTCGGAATTTCAAAAATACAAAAATAAAAATACCGACCTCCGGAGGTCGGAATTTCAACATTACAAAAATAAAAATACCGACCTCCGGAGGTCGGAATTTCAAAAATACAAAAATAAAAATACCGACCTCCGGAGGTCGGAATTTCAACATTACAAAAATAAAAATATCGACCTCCGGAGGTCGGAATTTCAACATTACAAAAATAAAAATACCGACCTCCGGAGGTCGGAATTTCAACATTACAAAAATAAAAATACCGACCTCCAGAGGTCGGAATTTCAACATTACAAAAATAAAAATACCGACCTCCGGAGGTTGGAATTTCAACATTACAAAAATAAAAATACCGACCTCCGGAGGTCGGAATTTCAACATTACAAAAATAAAAATACCGACCTCCGGAGGTCGGAATTTCAAAAATACAAAAATAAAAATACCGACCTCCGGAGGTCGGAATTTCAACATTACAAATATAAAAATACCGACCTCCAGTGGTCGGAATTTTAAAAAATGAATATTCTGACATAAAATAAAAACCGACCTCGAGAGGTCAGTAAATACCGACCTCCAGAGGTCGGTATTGAATAGCGACCAAGCTTTTTCCGACCTAAGCTGGGATGTTGGTTTTAGGTCGGTATTTCAAGGAATACCGACCTCCGGAGGTCGGTATTCACAGTTTTTTTAGTAGTGTCTGTATTTATCCTCCGATGATTTCCTGTGAAAATGTTTGTATTGTCAATTGGTTATATCAAAATAGGTTAATCCAAACATTTACAAAATATATGTATAAAACTTACATATTGACATGATTTTTGAGAAGCCCCTTGGTTAACCACTACATATACTCATTAATTAGTTTAGACGATGCTTGATATGTAATCTCACATCCTTCAAATGAGAAATACAGAAGAATATCGTCATCCAATTTCTCTTTTCCCTTCTCGCTTGACCCAAAAGAAGTCATGTATGAAGATTGAATAATTCTTGAAGGCATCCTATTTCTAGGCGCAGAAGTCTTTGAATCGCTTCTAACAACAATCTCAGTGGTTCAAATATCAGTGGATAATTGACTATCATACAACAAATCATGACTTCCAGTTAAATTCTATGGATTGTAAACACACAATGATTTAGTAGGAATATAAATTTTTCCTAGATTGGATATAAGTGCATCTATTATGCTTGAGTTGAGGGCGATATTGTTGTTGATGTGGAAGAATCCTGTATAATAAGATATAATATTTTTTTTAGTAAAATTCCATATAATGATTGTTAGTGTCATGATGCATAATTGATAAATTTACCGATGTATCAACTGTTATTTTATTAGTCACAAAATGACGAATATTGTGTTGAACTATGTCAGCACCATCTTCATCCATGATTACTTCATTTAAATCTTGTGGGGCTTGATGTGCTTCATCATCCTGAATATAAGCATTTTGTATGTATCAGTTACCCATTATACTAATAATGTTTTATATATATATATATATATAAAAGGATAATGTATCAAAGAAAATTGTAATGTATAAAATTTTGATCATACTGATACCTTCTTAGGATCAGTTGCTTCAATATCAACATGAGTACTTTCATATGTAGGTTGGAGTTTTGAAACACGCTTCATTTGTTGTTGGTTACTGATAGTATGATCAGTCTATATTTGAATTTTTAATAATAAAAAAAGTGTTAACATAATTGTTACTGATACATTATTTAACTTAAGTGATGAATATAAAGTTGAAATATATAACTGTTTAATGAGACAGAAGATTCGGTGAATCATCTTAACTATATACATGACTTATGTGTGCTGATACATATAATTTTGATTCTTAATACATACTTAATGTATGAGGTATAACGACAATTACAAACAATGTATCAGAAACATACCTCTGCATTGACATTAACTTGATGTCCACCCTTATTAACAGATACACCAACCTCACAATCAGCTACACCAACTGCATCAACAAGATCAATCCGTATATGTGGAGATGGTTGTTTATTGCTTGATTGAGGATCGACATTGTTGTTTTCCTTGTGTCGAGATCGCATCAACTGCGAGTGATTTTCCTTTAACAAGATTACAAGTTCCTCAAATTTCTTGTCAATCTATCAAAAAATTATAAAAAAACAACTACAATTAGAGTCAATATAAAGAAAAAATAATAAAATCAAAATAACTACTTACGTAATTCTCCAAATGATCTTTCAGTTCTTCAATATCTGGAATTACATAATTGAAGCAGCCAGTGTCGGAGGACCATCTGAAATAGAAAATGGCTAGTTTAATGACACATTGGACTGATCTGCCTGACTGGGTTCTAACACCTTTGTTTTAGGTGTATCCCCTTTCTTTCTTGTTTTTGGTGGTGGTGGAGATGATGTATCAGACACTCTAGATGATCTCCTTAACAACTGTTCGGGTGGTCTTGTGGAGAAAGCATCGAAATCAGCAGTGTCATTCGGTTGAACTATCTTGGGATTGATAGATATTGTGGGGGTGAAGAAGGAGGAGCATGTTCATCTTTAGATAAATCAAAAGCTGCAATAGTTCCTCTGATGTTGGCACAATGTTTGAACATGCATTCTGAAAAAATAAAATATTTTTTAATATTAAGACACAAAATTATGTATCCTGACACAGAAAAAAATGATTTTAAAAAGACAAACTTGCAACCTTACAACTATATACTTAATTATGTATGAAATGTAATATAAAATGGATTCAATGTTACCTCTTGAAAAATGCTAGACATAAGCATTTCAAACTTTGGCTTTAAAGCCACAACCCTCCAATTGCAAATTCTAGGGATGACATCCCGTTCTTTGACAACAATTTCAGGATTTAATTGGAATGCACATTCGTATGTCCATACATTAAGTGCATAAGGCATTTCATATAACCGATACAACTGTTTGCTAACTGTTTGCTAAGATATTGGAGTAAATCCATGAGCTTTGTGAATGCAATCTATCCCCAAGGATATACTTGATATCTACCATCTTCAACCATTAAGAATTTGTTAACAGATATTGAAGGATCACCAGTTTGAGCCAAAATAAATGTATGGGGAAAGTACTGGATAGCCATCTGGAGTGCATCCTGATTGTTCTCCAAGTTGCCCATCAGAAATCGTTGGATTAGATGATTCTTGCTTATACTATTAATTGCACCAGGAAAATATTTTTGGAATAGCCTACAGGGAGTTGATTATGGGTATTCAAAGTCTTTGGTATTGCCTTTACATTTGAGACCAATTATTATTGCAAATTCTTTGATACCAAATTTCAAGATACCCCCATTTGCATGCCTAATATGCAATACCTTTGAGTTGCCTTGTTCCAATTCTAACAACAAATATTTACTAATTTGACCCTGAAAATTACATTTAGGGATGTCTAAATAGCGTCCAAAAATTGTAGCTCTGAACAGTTCAATTACATCATCCCCTATACTTAGGGAACTCCTTCAAAAAATTTGTGTTAAAAGGGACACCAAACCTTATGGCATGTGTTGATACCTTTTTTATAACATATTTGATTGACTGCAAAATGAAAAGGAAAATTATACTATTTATAATGATATCTTATGATACATAAATAAAAACATCAAATCACACTACACAACAAGTAATGATACATAATAAAAACAAGTTGATACATAGAAAAATACATGCTACCAGACTTCAACAGAGTCATATTATAAAACTTGATACAGTATACATAAGGATGCCCTGTCTAATACATCAACGACTTTTTTGTTAAATTTGACAAATATCTTTTTCATATTGGGGTTTGTCATGTATCATTTTTTTATACACATATCAAACAAGGGTTTTATAAGTGTCAACTAAATCTCAAATCAGTATGTATCAAACTAAGATACGGTTTTTGTATGTTAAATCATTGATTTAACCCAATAAACAATATAACACATCTAATTAATATATCAATCAATTTCAGTCTAAGATAGCAAACGCAATACAAATCACAAACAAGTTTAATAAAGATTAAAAACACATACTCTAGGCAATGAAGGTCTGGAAATAGCGGGTGCTGCATTTCTTCCCTTTTTTTGGAGGTTTTTGCAACCTTTTATTTAGACGATTCTGGCACATCTTTTGTTGACTGATTCATCAAGTTTAATGGGTCATGTAAACTTTTTGATGTAATTTCGGCCCAATTTTCATCATTAGAGTTGTATATTGTTCGATTAGTATTAGAAAGATTTGATGTAGGATCTGGAACCATATTATGTATCAAGAAGAAAAAACTGAAACAAAATTAAAATGGAAGGAAGAAGATGAAAATTACAATGACAGACTATGGGAGAGAGGACGAAGAAGACGAAGTTTGAAAATGGTTGGATTGAGAGAGAAACTTTTTGAAAATCAATTTGGGATAATGATTTGTAGTTGAAAAGATATTGGAGTGAATTTAAGGGGGAAAAAAAGGAGTGACATAGGGAGTGGTGAAACGTGAGATGTAAAAGTGAATCATGTATCTGACAGATTTGATATTTAAGTGAAATAAGGAATTTAAGTAATTTTTAAAAAAAATAGAAAAACATAGACAATAA